ACATGTGGCAACAAGCCACCATCACTTATGCATTGAATACGAACTTTGTCGATCTAAAAAAATGTAATGGCGTCTTTGTACTCAATGACATGGTCTGGATACACATGTGCAATCTCTCGGGCAGGGAAATCTGAGAAAAATCTAAGTTTTCAGCCAAACTTGCAGGCTTGCCAAGGAATACTACGGGCAAACAACTAATTGATATTGCAAAGATGGTGCACGCTACCTCATGGGTCATTCCTAAAGCAAGATCCAATTATCACAACCTTCAACACGCGTTCTTTTATTTTGAATCGAATGATGACATTAAAGCCGCAATTAGCAATGAAAACCTCACTATTGATGGCAAACACGTGATTTGGACTTCTTCCAACACTAAACTTTGTGCAATTTGCTTATCACCAAACCACAAAGCTAGTGACTGCCCTAAATGTAGAAAAAGACCTGCAGACCGTAATATGCAAAATTTGTACTAACGGTTTCAACCAGCACAGTTCGCAAACTACAAAGCTCCATCTAAAAAGTTGGCAGGCACAGAAAATCCTAACATCACTTTTGCTCACATGACCAAAAGTACTCAAAATGACAACCAGAAAATTACTAATAATAACCGTAAACCAACTCCAACGCAATAATTAAACGCTAACAATACCAATCAAAGACGACAGGAGGAAAGAAACATTGTCAAACCAATGGTGTCCTGGTCAGATGATGTTCCAACTGACTTTGACTTTGATTATCAAGTAGACCAAATGAGTTGCCCGACACCTAAAGGGAACTTATTCAATAGAACTAGAGCGGGTGGCTCAATGCATGACAATTCGGCTAATTTTGAGGAATTTGTCAAACAACAATTTAGTAATTTAGCTGCACAAATGAGTACACTTGTGAACTTCCTGGCTTTCATAGTTAAGAGAGTTGAATCTATAGAGCAATCCCTTAACATCAAAGTTGTAACCCCAGTTGAAGCTGAGGTGCATAACTTGAATGCGGATGAGATGACTGATGATTTGATACCTCACATCGACACATCCGCTTCAACCATCGTACAACAAAAGAGAACCATTGATGGCCTCCGTAGCATTAATGAAATGCAACAAAAAAGATTGAAATCTTTCACTTCCACTGTTAATACATTGGTTCAATCTTGTTTAGCTTTCCAATCGATTCTACTTAAGAACCAATTGCTTCCAACTGATCAAGCCGCTATGTTTTTCCTACTTGGAGATAGCTTCGATAACGATATTGATGACTATCTCAAAGGACTCCCAAAATTTTAGATTTTATTTTTATGAACTCTGTCTTTACAAAATCTGTTGCACAAGATGCACAAAACATTCCAATTTCACATAATTCCACTTCTATTTCTCAATTATCATTCGCCACACATAATGTTCATTTATTCACCAATTCCGCTAAACAAAATGTCCTTATTGAACACTATTTCTCATTAAATATAGACGTGATTAGTCTCCAAGAAACTAATTTTACTCAATCCCACATTCTTCCTTTTAACCTTTCATTTACTTCACAGTACCATGGTTTCTTTGGATTATCTCTCCCCTCCAGCACACAACCAACTGGTTATGGTGTTAGTCTTCTTTTAAAAAGACACCTAGCTGATCATATATTTCATCATAAAATTATCTTAAATCGCATCATTGTTGTTGACCTTCAATTCGCAAACAAACAAAAATTTCATATTATTAATGCATATGTTCCACCAGCTTATGCTAATGCTAAAAAAATTATCCATACTAAAATTATTAGCCAGGTTAAATTTGCAGTGGCAAACAATTATCATATAATTCTTTTGGGTGACTTTAACGCAAATATGGACAACTTTCGACTCGTGTCATGGGATAAAAATCTCTTTTGCAATTTACAGAACTTACATTTATTCGATTCGTGCACTTTAAAATTTGACTAACTTCGTGTTAATCACCCAACATTCAAATTATATAATTCAACATCTCAGATTGATTATATTTGGATCTCCACAGAAGCGGCACTACATCTTTTAGACTGTAAAACTATTGAAGTCTTCTCACAATTATCAGATCACATGATTGTCTTGTTAAGAATTGAAAATTTTCTGGACATCAAAAACAACAACAGGAATATTCCAAAAAAACGGTCTTCAATTATAACAAGATGACTGATGATAGACGGACTCAATTTAGTAACAAAACTGATGCCCTGGCGGATGCATGTATGCTAAGATCGTTAAATAACAATGTCTCATTTAATCAAAATAATTTGAATTTTTTTTGGGATTTGCTACAAGAATGCATCGTCAAAGTGGCGGATAAATGCATTCCATCACATAAATCTAAAGGGCATCATCAGCTTAAACGACCACTGCTTTTATCATCACTTTATAAGAATCTAAAATTCATATACAAATTTAAAAAAGCAGTGATAATTACATGTCGCTCTTCAATTTTACCTGGGGACTGGCAAAAACAGATCAGTCAATTTTACGACATACTACAAAGTTTTGATATCCCATTTATTGCAATCCCACTAGACCTTCCTCTAGCACTGATACGGTTTTTAACGCCTTATATAGATATTTTGTTGACAGCTCTCTTAATCAAAGCCAAACTTTACGAAAATGATCATAAACTCAAGTCAATCCAACAAGCTCTAGAAAGAAGACTTGAGAATTATCATTCCTCCCCATCCAAAATGATTGACTCCTTATTAAATTGTACCAAAAAAACTATCATATTAGATCGATGCTTCGATAACTCCTCATCATCACGTGATCTCTTGACAGAAGAAAGTGATGTTAAAAAAGAAGTAGCCAGACATTTTCAGATGGCTGCAGGTTCATCACATGAATCAATCACCTTAGATAATGACTGGATACCATTTTATCAACCTATCGATAATGTTAATAATGAAATCTACCGTGATCTTATGGTAGCACTTTCAGCTGAGAAATGGTATTCTGTAATCAACTCACTTCCTAACGATAAAACACCAGGACCATCTAAGGTGTCCAATGAGATGCTCAAACACCTTAGCCCTAAAACAAGAAAGGCATTGTGGTATATTATTTGTGGATGTCTTATTACTTCGTTATTACCGCATCGTTGGAATCATGTCTTCATTTATCCTATTCCTAAACCAAAACCTTGGGAATATGACCTTAATAATACCCATCTATAACACTGTTGGAATGTCCATAGAAAGCACTCATTAAGCTCCTTAATCGAAGATTATCCACTATCATTATCCAACACAATGTCCTTAAGGGTCTTAATTTTGCTGGACTTCCTTTTAAATCTACATTTGAACCTTTGCATATTTTAGATAATGTGAAATATGATGCAGATCACCATAAAAAAGATCTTTAAATACTTATGCAGAATATGTCTAAAGTATACGATCACGTGAATATTTATATGCTCTGCAAGGCGATGGAGCGTCTTCATATCCCTAACTCATTTATTCATTTTGTTATAAAAATGTTTGGCAATAGATTTAATCAAATATTCACACTTTTTGGAAACACTGAATCATATCGTGTGTTGTCAGGCATAGACCAAGGAGAAATCTTATCCTCACTGCTGTGGTGCATTTATTATGATTCACTTCTTTGCAGAATACAAAATTCAGCGTTGGGCTATTCTCTCTCCCATACGTGGAAACCTAACGTATTACTTAATAATGAGGAGACTAATTCTATCAATATAGCAATATTGGCCTACATGGATGATACCTTATGGATCGCCAAATCACAAGATGATTTATTACAAATTTTGAATATTGCGGATAGCTTCTATAAGCTCAACTTTATTAAAGTCAACTGGAACAAATTGGTCTTGTTGATCAATAATGAAAAGAATAATCAACCGTTTAGTTGTATGATCAATGACAGTCCCATGAACATCACACCACTACCTCATAAAGAGTCAACCAGATATTTAGGTGTATGGATTTCTCTTTTCAGAAATAAATTATTTACGTTCAAGATGGTCAGTAATGAAATCAAAAGTGCAATCAACATTATGTTCATGAAGAAATTAACGGATAAGCAATTGGTTTACATCTTTAACACTGTTGTCATTCCAAGAATTGAATACCGATTGCAATTAACAGCATTTACCTCTCTACAATGTGACCAACTTGTAAAGCTGTATCGTTCCTTCTTGAAAAAGAAATTAAATTTACCACAGGCTACTCTGTCGTTAATAATACACTTGCACCTTTTTATAACCTTTCTAACTTCCATTCGAGGCAGTTAGAAGCACAGAGTGAAGCACTTCTCTATTCACTCAATGACACAAATTTGTTGGGAAAATCGACAAAGCTCCGCATACGTCAACTTCAACAAGCGGAATGGTTATATATATCCCCTCTTGTTGATTGGCCATATCTTAAATGCAATAAACCCAATAATTGGATTGCTAACGTTCTGTGTGAATGGAAGCATTTAAATTTTTCCACACAAATTCCTAATGTGGATTATCATTGCATCAAAGGAGGTTCTACTCCCATACAACTCATACTACCCAATGAATACTGAAAGCTTGCCACACACTTAAGAAGGATGTCGCTTATTTTTACAGAACAACTTTCTACATCAGATGGTAACATTATGTTAACCCTTTTTGATTTAACAGTTTATCAGAATTCCCTGCAGGTTAGACGTGAAACCGCTTGGTTTAATTAGCTACAAACTCTATTAACTGTTGATATCGCCTCAAGAGAACTGAGACAAAAAATACCGCATATTAAAAACTATTATTTTGACTTTTCTTCTTCTATAAAAATAGCTCAAACCAACCCTTATGTATTTGGTTGGAATCTAGATGACAATCAACCTTTTACTGGCAAACTTTTTAAAATAAGTATCAACTTGGCGAATGTTATGCATGTCATACCTACCTTAACTCAAGTCATAGAACCATACTTACACCCTGTACCAGGTGTATTTATCACAATCCTTGTACCAAAATACCACCACAGATGAAAAATAGTGATAATTGCTATTTCTTTACTATTTCTAGAGATCTTTGTTTTTTTATTCCTACACTTCGTAATAATAGTATTGAAAGGTTTCCTTGGTGTTCATGGTCATGAAATCTCATTTATGATCTCGCTTTTACTTTCATCAATCAATGCAATAATTCTCACCTTTGTATTCCTACTACCCCATTTATTCCTTTAATTCCTCTTTCTTTTATTGAACAATTTATTTCTTCATCACATTTAGCGACACTTCTAACACTTAGATCAAATTTTAGTTCGTCTACTAATTTAGAGTTTCATACAGATGGCTCTCTCATTTCTCTTGGATACCCTGCACTTAGAATGGGTTTGGCTTGGTTACAAACAGCACCTTCTGCTCCATTATTATCATATTCTTCTGCATTAGTAACTTCGTTCCCCTTATCATCTATTGCGGAATTAGCAGCTGTCTTCACTGCAATTTTAGTTGCACCACCAAATTACCAAATCAAAATATACACAGACTCTAGTATAGTGATATCACAATTTAATAGATATAAGCTTTTATCACTTATATCAC